ATAATAAATAATAACAGACGAAATAACTACACACACACACACACACACACACACACACAAATGAAACATAAACGTTAAACGTAATCCGTGTTAAGTTTTGCATTTTTTCTCTTACTAATGTATATCCTGGGGGGGAAAAAAAGAGAAAAGTCAAGAAAGAATCTTACCTGAAGAATAGAGACCGCACGAAAGGCAATTCCTCGAAGTCCTTAAGCGAAATCGGTTGTTTGAGCAACTGCCACTCCTCTTGCAGGGGGAAGAATTCGTATATGAATTCTCGGGGATCCGTCAGGAAGTAATGATCGTCGTACTCATACCTAAGTAAAAAAATGTCTTCGTGATCCGATCGATCGTTTTATGTGCACACGGAAACACTATAATCACGGATACGGAGATTGGCGATAGATGACTTCGGCATGCACGTACCTGAGGCTGTCGTTTTTAGCTTTCGCTTGACCGGGACGGGGGACCTCTTTGGCATTAACGAGGTGTCGCGCTCCCCAATTACACTGGACGAATCGCCATGCACCTGCCACGTACACGGCATTCCAGCTGTTTCGGAATCGGTTGTCCTCGAAGCACACGCCCGGTTGATAACCCGCCGACTTGCTGTAACCCTTGATGACCACGCAGTGCAGACCCGCGTAACTGCGTTCAAAGTTATTTGGCAATTTAGATACCATCAGTTTTCCCAGAGAATAAAATATACGAGTAAATAACGGACATATTGATAATCGATTGTTAACTTTTTGTAGACTCTGTTACGCATTTTTACGCAATTGTGTGTACAAATTGTAAAAATAAAAAGTTTACATGTGCCGATTCTCATGTATGTTAATACAATATAATATTTCAAATTTTTTTTTATTTTGCTTCGAAAATGTTTTGCTTTGTTGTTATTAAAATTATTTTTTTTTTTTGGTTAAAAAATAAAGTCTCATAAAAGTGATCTTGTGATTTTATTAAATTTAAGAACATAAGTTATGTTAAATATGTTCCATTGAAACCTGATTAAATGCGACGAGATAATTGCACATATAAATTTTTAGAATTTTTGCAGAATAAAACGTTTTCAACTCTTTTCTATCGCTGTAAATAAATTGCTTATATAAATTTATATATTTTTTATAATATTGTTTTTTGCGTGAAATTACCTGCATAATCGTTTGAATAGAACGTGGTAACTTTCCGTGCCATGTTTGATACCCCTTAGCAGACCCATGGGAGTGTCACCCCGTAAATTTTCATCGAATTGCATAGTGTTCAGATTTTTCACGGTGATCCATCGGAATATTGTTCTCGCCTTTTCTATATCTGAACCGCATCTGCTCACCAACTGTCGCACTAAGTCGGTGAACGTTTTTTGATCTTCTTGGGCTACCTAAGAACAACACAAGATATTATAAATCAGTGAGGATTAGTGAAATAGTATTAAAAAAATAATTATTATCTGATCACTTATGTATAATTGAAAGCAATTTTTTTGAATAATTCAGATATTTATAGAAACAAGAGTAGAATATAGGTACTAGATAGATAAATTTCAAAATGACTGGAATAATTTTTTGAAATTTAACTTCTTTAATTTCTCCTTTAGTACTTCTTTAATTAAATCGTACAATAAGCTAAAATAAAAACGTTACGATGCAAAAGAGAATGCAAAAAGATAGCGCTCTCAAAATACTTGCGACGTATCATACGCCGCAAAATCTCCATCCAGGCGACGAGGAAGATGACTCGCAAGAGGAAGGCAGCGCTGAAAGAATCCTTTGGCGAAGTCTTACCGAAATAGCTATCTGATCCATGTCGGCGAACTCCAGGGGATCATTGTAGATATGGTACTTGGCGAGGGCTGGTGGCTGCGGGGGTGGCGCGCGCGATGGATAAGGTGGAGGCGGTGCTTCCTCAGCATAACCGTCTCCTTCGTCAAGGTATAAACTCTCTTGTAGCATGTACTCGCTTCTCGCCTCATTGATCAGCTCTAGCATCTCTGAGCTCTGTTTCTCCACCAGCGCAGCGGTTGCCGCCCTATAAATTGATCAGGAGTAACGAGAAGCTTTTGCGTTGAACGTGAAAACCCGGCTTCCCGGTTTTGCAAGCGCCAACGCACGCGAGCTTGTTTATCGTCCGGAAAGAAAAAAAAAAAAGAAAAAAAAAACACGAAACCAAAACTACCGCGGCTCGTAACGTGTTGCACGTAATTTCTTTCGCAGGTTCTTCCGTAATAAAAAATGCACGGAATCGATATTAACGTAATCCCATTTGAGATTGGCGAACGTACAAGACGAATAAATTATGATATAAATAAAGTGTTGAAAAAAATATGTATAAGTTACTAGTTACTAGTTATCAAGTTACTAGTTGGACAATTTTTTAACTTTTAAAGTTTTAAAATTATTTTGGAAATTTTATTATATATATTTTTTCAATTTTGATTATATATGTGTTGTCTTAATTATATAATATTTTAATTTATGATAAATCCATAATTAATCCATGTTTGCTCTTTGCAAAGAAACGTGAGATTTCTATGCTCATTTTATGCTTTAAAGATTATATTTCGTTTTATGCAATAAACTATAACTCGTGATGTAAGTGTTGCCTGTCCGATCTAAAAGCAAGATGTGGGTATCGCGTTAATTACATAATAAATACCGTTCGTGCTCCAGCATCTTGCGCGTGAGACTTTCCTTCTTTTTGTCCCTGCGTAAAGTCATGTTCTTCTCCAAGTCTTCTTTCTCTTGCTGAAATTGTTGGGTTCGAACTCTTCCGCCTTTTTCCCGTTCCCATCTCGCCGACAATTGCTCCAGCTCCTTCTCCCACTCATCCTTTTTAAATCACGCAGAATACAATTATTAATGCATATTATTTGTAATTAATAATATATGAAATAATTGATTTATGAAACGTATTTTGTTGTGAGTTCGCTTCAATTACGTACTCGGAACTCCTCACGAATTCGTCGGTCCTCTTCCTCGCGATGATGCGCAAATTTCCGGTATAAATCATCTTCTTCCTTTCGATGCTTCATCTCGAGACGCGTCTGCTCATCGCGATCCTAATGAAGGAAAGACAAAAAAATTCGTATTAAAGAAATAAATTCTTTATATATTCATTTAATATATACATACATATATACATACATTTAATTTATAATTAATATGGATATCTTTTTTAAAAAGTGTTGCAGTTATAAAAATATAATGTTAAAATATTATTGCAAATACATCAAGTAATTTTATAATTTTATTGGCGAGGCAAAAAAAAAATACATTTAATGTCCGGTAATTATAGTCTACTTTTCATCATTTATCGAAACATATTTATATAAAGTATGACATAAAAATATAAATTATATAAAAACTATAAAAACGATAAAATATCATATTTCGAACGCTCGGCATTTGGTATTTAATTCTGAAAAGCAAATATGCGATCGGCACGTTACTAATTAAAGATTAAATCGTCGTTACGTGTCAGGAAGCATTCCTGCCAATCGTAAGAAGGCGGAAAGAATTCGCGGATACGTTGGACGCAATAAAACGCTTCTATTTCTTAAAACGCCCGCAGGCATCGGCCTTAGAGGTAGGTACTCCACTTTTTGTATAATTTACTTTCACGTCGCGTTTCTGCTTTCATTCGCTTTCAAGAGAGTCTCCTCTCTGGGGAGCGACAACCCGCTGCTGATCGACAAAAGTGAACTAATCCTCTTCCGGTGTATTTTTTCAAAAATGGTACGTTGCGAGCCGCGACTCTTTTCGTCCGTTGTCGTTGCAACCGGAAATATTAATGCAATAAAAATATGAGTAGAAGTCGCTGCGGAAAACAAACATGTCCTTTTGAAGTCGTGCGACGGGATTTCTTCAATGCAATCTTTTCAATATAATTTTGAAGAAGAAAGCTGAGGAAGAGAAGCAACGGTTTGCCACATGTAAATAATTGGAATGCAACGCAAAGAAAATTGGTATGTCTTTGTGAAATGTCTTAACAGGTTTATTTCGGAGTTACAGTTGTAAATAATGCATTACTTAATTTTTCTTTAATATTTTAAGAATAGATTAAGAATACTAGCAAAGTCTATCCTAAGTTATGTTATATACATGTTGATTTGAATAAACATGACTGATTTGAGTAAAGTCTAATGTGACAAGAGAGAGAAAGAACAACTTTACACATTTCTTCAAAATTAAATTATTATTTCTTTAAACACGAAATTTTAATATTTTAATATTTAATACAACATACATAATGCTGCATATGCACATATTTATATAGCAACAAATTCAATGCCGTCTACGCGGGAAATGCGCTAATGAAACGCGAAGCGAAAAAAATATACAAGGCTATTTATCGTGGGAAAAACCTGCTCGCGACATGTTTCATGAATGAAACAACAAAAGTCCCGAGAGTCCAGCCTGATGTAATGCACAAGGCTGTTTTTCTTTAATCTTATTTTAGGCTTTTCACCGAGAGCGTTTTACGTTATGCTAGAAACAGATGGGGGTATCCGCGCGCGCAATATGTAATATAATTTTTTAAAACCGCGCCGGAGAGCCGGAGGCTCGCGCGTTTTGCCGCGCGCTGGCACGCGGACGCGTACCTTGATTGAGTTGCGAGATTCGCCTGTCGTTCGGTGCGGAAATGGGACAACGAACCTCTAATGGATTAATTTTCCCTAAGCGTTTACGCGCGAAGGCGCATGAGAGACGTCGGTCGGGGTACACACACACGCGCTATCCCCGCCGGCTCTTTGCGCGGCCCGGCAACGATTCTCTAATTAGCCATCAAGTGCAGAAGTACCGCAAGCGGAAATAATTCTGCTTCCCATCCTCTCCCCTCCCCCCCCCTCCCCCCTCCCGCTTCCCCTCACTCCTCCTCCTCCGCCGTTTCTCCGCCCCGTTGCAGACGTAAAGCTCTACCTTCGCGCGGCGCGCGCGTACGTCCCGGTTTCCGATGACGTCCGGTTTCGCGTACGAGGGAAATAAGATGACGCGCTGTACACGCGTTCTTCCGTGGTAAACGATTTGAATAACCATGAACGACAACGGGGCGCGCAGCGGCACCGACCCGCGGCACTGTTGTTCTCGCGTCCGAGGAAATCGCGCGCGACAAGCGAGGAAGTTAATTCACTCCGGAAAGCCTTTGCGAAAGTCGTGTACTTCTAAGTCGTACTTTAATCGATCCGGTATAATTACTTAAATCCTTAAGACTTTTCATCCTCTCTCTCTCTCTC